CACTTCATCACATAGTTGACTTTAAAAACTACTAATGAGAAGTTTACTCTTTTTTCATATTAATTATCCAACAATCAGTGTGCAGATACACTTACACTGCAATTTAGATGAACTACATTTCAGGTACTATGACTCATGGCTGTCTACGAGACAGCAGAGTGTGAGAAGATGGCAGAGCAACAAGACAGAAGGAACCTGGACTCCTGGTTGAACTCAGGGAGCAAAACTGCCCATACTCTTGAACTTCCCATTTACCGGCTGCTTAAAATACTGTATTGAGGGATCTTCTCGTAGCTTCAGCCTAAGTCTGTATCCTGACTGATACAACATAGTAAAAACCATAGAAATTGGTATTGACCTATATACAACATGCAGTATAACAAGCAAATGGGGATTGTAATAGCAAAAATCTCTTCATCTATCAGTCCAAGTTTGTGAACAAATCAACACTTACTGCCTATTCTATTACTGGTTGAGTTGATCTGCTATTACGGAACAATAACTTAACTATGCATGGGGAGTACTCAAGTTTCAGATCTTGAAAAATTGCTACTTGGGTACTTTCATTTTTTTGTATCCTTTGATGTTTTGCATTTTATGTAACATAAAACAATAATCTCTGCAACCATTAAGCAGTTAATATGTATGCACCTCTTATTTTTTATTATCAATTTGAACTAAATACTTAAGGGGGCAAAGTTAAAAAATATTTTTAATTATGTAAATTATAATTAATAAAAAAGAAGAGTATGGGACAAGAAAAGAGAGGTGGTAGGGGTAACTTGCAATTAATTACATCGTCAGCAGGATTTAATTAAAGAAAAAAACACTAGGTCATAAATAGTTTATTTAAAAGACCTCATCCAGTTTAAATTTCTCAGATCCTTCATATGTACTTTCAAACATATAACTTTATAGGCATGATCATATAACATCCCCCTGTAAAAACAAAACAGCAGTGAAATTAGCTTTCATTTCCCTGGCCAATTTGTTTCGGCTTCCCCACAAACAAAAGGAATTGGCCACAGATTGACAAGGTTCTTCATATTTCTAAATGAATCCTTTCGTTTATAGGGAAATGCAATACTGAAATCCAGAAAAAGAAAAAAAAAGTAAACAAGGACCTGTCACTTTATATTTTATGGACCAGAATACATCAGTTATTATCTTGATTTGTTGATTCTATTTTCCTTCACTGGAAGACTCACTATCCAGAAGTCTGAGGTAGTTCAGTGAAGTCATACTATTTCCAGTTTATTTTATGGAGTCATTATCAAAGCCTGATTAAGAGAACAGATTTAGGAGTCAAGCATCTGGACTCCACTGATTATTAGCTGTGTGACCATGATGAAGTTACTAAACCTCTCTGAGACTTAGTCTCTGTAAAATAAGAATAATAAAAAGCTGCATCAAAGTAAGGAGTGGGGAGGAGTATTTAACACAATGTCTCATCCAGTGCCTTATTGTTAAGTACTTTTCTACTTCCAAAATAATCATCTTATAACATATGTATTTTTTTTCAGCACCTATTGTGTGACAGTTTTGTTTGACATAGATTTTTCCTAATTCTCACTGGGTATGGGGTTGGGAGAAACATTCTCAATTTGCAGATGGAGAAACTGTGCCTCCAAGAGATGAAGTGGCAGTAACTGAAACCAACCTAGCCAACATCACAGCCTGTGTTCTTTCCTCTACACTGAGATGGGACACATACTCCTGTAGGTAGGATGTACCCCAGAACAAAGAAAGAGAAGGCAAAGTAGCTTGGAGGTCTCCAAACCTCACAGTTTAGAATAAACCCGCCAGTGATGCTTAAAGTTGGACCAGCTTTTGAAATCTCTACTGGACATTCTTTTCCCATCAAGTTCCTTGAAATTTCTCTTTAAAGAGCATCTAGGAAAAGCCACTCTCATTAGGCAGGATTTGGCTTTATTTTCCTACTAAAGAGAACTTTGGTCAGACAAAAGAGCCTCTTTTATTTTCAATCAATTCTTGAACATTTCAGCTGTTTTTCTTCTATTTGGCTTGAAATTGTGATCTGGGAATGGCCGATCCAGCAAATTGTCCTCCTATAAGGGAAGCCCCTTGAGGATCCTCAACTTGTTATTTTTAATCACTGTAATCTCCTTTTCAAAGGAGGCCATGGTCAGAAACAGGGCAGCCTTTCAGAGCTTTCTAAAGCACAATTATTGCAGAAAGAGGGAGTTTGGGGGGAAAAGGGAGGGAGAGCAGAAAGAAATGGTGGAGAAGGGAGGAAGTCGATATATAATACTAACAACTTGGAAAAGGCTGAATAATAATCTCAATTGGATCCTGGCTGTGGAGAAGAAACCCATGTTTAAGCATTTTTAAAAATAAATAAAATAGTGACCCTTTTTTTCCAGCCTAGAACATTTAAAGGATATACAGGGCAGGTGGGGGAGGGGGGCACGGACAGAAAAACACTATATGGAGATGAACTGGGTTACTAAGGACAAAGAACTGAAGCAGGAAAACAATCTGTTGGTTCCAAGGATTGTAAAGGGTCCTAATGGGGGGGAGGTGTCAAAATAGAACACCAAAGGAATGTTAACTTTCATAGCCTTGATTCAACACACTAAGCAGAATGCATTAGATTTATTTCTAATACAATTATTCTAAGAAAGTACAAGCCAACAGAAAAAGTCACAAAGTAGGCCATCATCCGTTTTCTTCCTGAGTGGCAGAATCAGGTTTGCTAATAGCAGAGTATTTACTCAGAGGACCTCAGCATGGTGCCTGCAAGATCTTTTTCTGAAGATCTACAGCCTGAGTGGCAGGGCACAGTCCAAAAGGGTAAGCTTAGGTTGGAATAACCTGTAGGGTGAAGTCTTGTGTGGCTCCCAGCCCCTGCCCCAGGCCCAGCTCCCTCACTGGCCCGCCCCTCTCCTAGTGCTGGGGCTGCCACTACCAGTGCTTAGGATTAGTGGGGGAAGGAGATACCCTGTAGGGGGTTCAGACTAGTCTAAATCACCTAAAAAAGCCTTTCTCTCTCTCTCTCTCTCTCTCTCTCTCTCTCTCTCTCTCCCCCAGGCCCCCCCCCCACAAGTCGAACCAAATACATCTGCCCACTGTAATGTCATAAAGTGCCCCACATCTCACGGAAACAAGCATGTGTTGTCCATGCACATTCCTCTCTGTAAACTCCTTTGGTCTCTACAGCGTGATTGGATAAACAGCTATTTTCATAACTGGTGACACACATTCAGAGAAGTTAAGGTCACACAACCACTAAGTCCGTTTGACTCCAGGGGAAAAAGTCCATTTTCCCCTGCCACGGAGCTGGGGTAGTTTCTCCAGGAAACCCAGGTCCTCCTAAAGACGACAGTGGGGTTCCTCCAGCTTCCCTCCCGTCCACCCGGAGGACTGGCGTTCTATGCCCCCCCCCCACATCCCCCGACCCCCAGCTCCACGCTGTGGCTGCCAGTCAGGCTCCACCAGCTCCAGAGGTAGCCGCGGACACGCCCGCTCCCCTCGGGGCTGGGCGGGGTGCGCTCAGCCAAGGTCTTTCTGTTTGGAGAGCCGAGCGCCCCCTTGACGCGCGCCGCGGGGTGGGTCAGAGCGGCTCCTCCACCCGCGCCGAGGTGCTCGGCAACCAACTCTGGGCAGCTCCGGGTGAGAGAGTCCAGGACCCGAACCCAGGAACGCGCGAAAAAGGTCCGGAGAAGGGTGGCTCCGGTTCTGGCCACCGGCGTGGCCAGACTGGCTGGCTGACACCACCCCAAACTTTCTGCAGTGTGGCCCCCAGCGCTTCCTCCCGCGCCCATCTAGGAACCCCCAAGTCTGGGGCGCGAGGGCTGCGGCTGGGAGCGCATTAGCCCCGCCAGTTGCCCCCCAAACCCGCGCTTCCCGGCTCAGCACCAGAGCTGGCTTATGAAGGGGCGGGGGCTGCGGGACACCAGCGGGTTACGCCCCGCCGGTGCCACCCCGGGTGAGACCAGGCGTCCCTCTGTGCCCCGTGGCCTGTCTCCCAACTGGGTAAAGGCAGCAGCTGCGCGTAACAATGATGTCGAGAGATCACTGGGCTAGGGAGGGCGGCGGGGGGCCGTGGGGATGGAGTCTGTGGCCTGAGGTGCCTGTCCTGCCCAGGCGGCGCGGTCCTGCTTGGACACCACCCCCTGCGCTCCAGAAAGCCCGCTCTGGGCCGAGGGGCGAGGCGCGCCAGCACCGGGACGCAGAGCCTCCGGGCTTGGGGAGCCGCGGTCCCCTGGCCTCCAGGGCGCAGGCCTCGGGATTCGGGCTTTGCTTCCGTCTCCACCGGTTCCCCTTCCCTCGCGGAGCTACCCCGCGCGCTTAGGAGGCCTTTCCACCCGCACCCAGTCCTAGAAATCCAGGTCTTCTCGCCCGGGACCAGCAGAGAATAATCTGGAGTTCTTTGCACGGTTCCTTATAAAAAGCTGCAGGCTCCTCTCCTCCTTGCGCGCCCCGGGATGCATTAAGGGCAAAGCCTTAGTCCCTTCTTTAGAAGGGATCTGTCCCTGGAAATTTGGGTGACCGTCCCGCCGTGGCCAGTCTGAGAGAAGCTGACATCTCCTCCTTCGGGAATGGGAACGGGGAAAGTCGGTGTCACCGCTTTGCCTGTGACCCGACTGGGAAAAGCCAGGGTCCCCTGCACTCCAGGGACGCATCTGGAGGAAGGCGGGTCTCTACGGCTCTCGTGGAGCGGGTCGGAGTGAAACCCGGTTCCCTCGCAGCCAGGCCGGTGTGTATCGTGTCTCTGCGCCGCAGCCCCCGCCCGGGAACCGCGCGTAGGACGTGGGGGTGCCTGTCTGGGCAGTGGCCGCCGCGACGGCCCGGACACTAGCTCGTGACCCGCGCAGAGCTCGCAGCCAGAAGGGCTGAGGACAGGCAGGGCACATGGGGCCGTTACCCGGCTGCGCCAGCGCCGTGCGCCCGGCGACAGTGCGCCCTCCTCCGGCACAGGACGACCGGCGCCCCGGGAGCCGAGTCCTGCGCTCCCAACGCCTCGCGGGGCCACTCACCGCGGTAGCTGGTTCCCGGCTTGTAGAAGTCGGGGTCGCCCTCCACGCGGAGGCTGAACTCGGTGTAGCCCTCGCGCCGCGTGCCCTGGGCGCGCAGGATGCGGCTGCAGTAGCCCTCCGACTTGGGCACTTTGTCCAGGGTCTCGTCGGAGAAGGCCAGCACGGCAGCCAGGGGCAACGCCAGGGCCAGCAGCGCTGGACTCCGGCTGAGCCTCAGGGACGCCGGGGGCAGCCTCATCCTCGCGGGCCCCCCAACTTTGTGCCGCAGCCGCGGGCTCTCGCTACTCGACTCCTGCCCGAAGGGGACCCCGCAAAAGCGAGACCTGACGGAGCTCGGGCGGGAGCTTGGAGCTGGTGCTGGCGACTGCGCGAGCGTGCCCGCCTCGGCTAGGAGGCTGCCGAGCTGCGCTGCGCTGAGGAGAGCTGAGCAGAGCTGAGCAGAGCTGAGCAGAGCTGAGCAGAGCTGAGCAGAGCTGAGCAGAGCTGAGCAGAGCTGAGCTAGTGGAGCCGCGCGGCGAAGGGAGGGCGGCGGTGGAGGAGAAGAGGGGAGGGCTGGTTTTGCCCAGATCCCCCAGCTCAGCGCTGTTTTGTTTCCGAGTTGGCGATTAGCCGCGCGGTGGTGTTTATTTTGCGACTCTGGATTCCCAGGGTCTGGCAAGGAAATCATAAGGTACAGGGAGGAGGCGGAAAGGCTGCTACCCCAACTCCTGGCTACACCCTGGACCCTGTGGAGGAGGGTGCTCCAAGGAGGGAACAGACAAAATTAACTTTCGTTGCGCACCTGCTCTGGGCTTACCAACATGCTGGGCAGTTTGCCTCCAGCAAGGGCTCACCGTGTCCACTGGCTCTCACTGCACACAACAAACAGCATTACTTTCATTCATTCATGTTGCAGATGAGCAAACTGAGGCTTGCAGCCCAAACTGTGAAGGTGGAGTCAGATGCCATGACCAGTGACTCTGTGCTCATCCCCTGACCCTGTTGAAACAGGTGACACTGGAGGATGGGGAGGCAGCAGCATGACCCCAGCCATTGGGCCCAGTAGCACCATGTTTAGTGCCTCTGATACTTTTGGAATGTCCTGGAAATGTTGCTTTAAAAACAAATAAAAACGATTTAGGCCAAAACAATTTACTGTATGATATCAAGATATAGAGTGGTAAAATGTAATGTTTACTATTGTTTTATGGAGGAAGGAGTCCACAAAGACAAAAGTGCCTTAGGCCCACCAGATCCTTTAAGTAATACTGGAGGTTTGAAAGTTTCAATGAAAAGCCTTTGATATGGGATTTGCTTTTGTTTTGTGACTTACATTTTAGATCAGTTTCTCAATCCCCAGGGCAGATAATAGGTGCGGTGCTGAGCAGCCTCAGGCACCAACCCCAAGCTAATAGAAGGTCCAGGTGCAAGAATCCCACCTAGTATTCCTCTAGGAAAGACGCAAATCAAACCTTAGTCTTGCAGTTATGGGTTGTGAGACTTGGGCAAGGTATTTAACCTCTCCAAGTGCTACTTTCCTGCTCCGGAGAAGGGGTTTTATATGAAATCACCCACATAAAACACTGTGGTCTGATCTCCAATGTCACCCCCCTAACCCCCACCCCAGCCTCCAGGAACAACGGATGGATCCAGACTCGGTCTGGGTACCAAGTAATGAAGACCATGCCCACCTTGGGGACATCTTAAGCTCCCTGTCCCTCCCTTTCCTCCACTCTAAGTGCACAAGAATCCCTTGCCAGGTGCTGCCAGAATCTTTGTTTACCTCCCTTTCTCTTTCCCCTGTGCTGTCGACAAACCTCAAGAGCCTACATTTTAAAAGCCATCTCCTTTCCTTTCTGGATCAGCTTTTTCTCTTTGACATGACTAACTGGTGGCCCAGAAGATTCACCTTTGTGTGTAGGTCTCCATCTTTTTAATGGCCCACCATTAACTCCTTGGTCTGTGCTAATACTCCCACTGCCACTATTAACTGGGTACCTTCCTGCAGAGGTTACCCGAGAATGTCCCTCTTCTAAAGTCAGTTATACTCTTTTCTCAGCCTTGACCCTTTTTGACCCTCAGCAGCACCTGATCCAGCTGACCAGCCCTCCATTGTCGACGTGACAGTCAGACTCATGTCTGCATCCTGAGAATTATCTTCAGGATCACTGGGCTGGCTCAGAGCTCATGCTAGCCACCATGGTGCACAGCCCCTTTCATCCAGCAAGCTTTCCTTAAGTGTAGTTTGGGGATAGGTCTGTTCTGAGCAGTGGGTGCCAGAGGGAACAAAAATCCATTCAGTCCTTCACGCCAAAGGCTTTCCGCAGGCTCAGGTCTGGGATACAAGTCAGCTGTATTACTGCCTTTGTGGATCTTACAATCCCATGGGAAAGGCAAATATTAAATACTTAGTTAAAATGAGCCACACTCAATGTTAGATTTTGAATAAATTTTGCTATCAACAGGAAAAATAAATAAATACATAGTTACATGAATCTTCAAATTATAAGTGTGATATGTGCTATAAACTAAGATAAGTGGTTCGTGAGAGTATACCCAATTTTATCAGAGGACAGGGAACTATAGATGTGAATAAAATGTAGTTTCTGTCTTCAAAGAGTTTATTATATGCACAATAGTTCAAATATATGCTCTTGAATGTCTTTTCACTTAAATCAACATACTCAAACCTAATGTGGAGGTGGGTGGACAAAGACCAGGCAGGGATATAATAATTAATTTTTGTTTAACATTGGCAAGGAAACCATATGAAATAAAAGACTCCATTTTCCCTTCCCTCTGCTACTTTCCAGGATAGGGACCTATAAAATTACCTGTCTAGATGCCATGGGGAAAAGAATCTGGATTCAAAACAGGTGTCACCCTCACCAAAACAGTGTTCTTCCCACTGTCAGTGTGGACCCCATCCTCTGGGTTATGACAGCCAACTGTAAGCAGCACATCAAGCACCAATCCCACTGCCCAAGCTAGATTCCCTAATCCGGATCTCCTATCGCTTCAGATTTCTCCTCTCTCTCCACACGTCCAATCCATCACCAAGTCGTTAGTTTCACTCCCTAACTACCTCTTGAATTTGTCCACTTCTCACCATCTCATTTGCCACCACACCAGTCTGAGTTGTCATCATAGCTCAGCTTTCTTATTAGACTGTCCTCCAATCTGTCTATTTCCCTGAAGCCTGAGTGTTCCTTTTTAAAATGCAGATTTAAATGTCAATCCAGCGGTTAAAATCCTTTTTCTGTGGTTTGTCAAGGCTCTCAGAACAAAGACAGACTCTTTTACATGGTCTCCTGTGAAGGCAGGGACTGTCTCTGGGGCCACCCCCAACCCTGTTGTGCACATCCTAAGGCTGGGCTCACTGTAGGATTCCATGAGTATTTGTTCTATGAATAAAAAGTCTTTAATGGCCTCCCAGTGCTGTCTGACTCACTCCAAGATCTTCAAATGACCTGCGGGTCTGAGTACCTTGTGGTGTCCCCCACTTTCAGTATTGATTCAGCACCTCTGCTTATAGCTTCCGGTCACCTACAATGCCTTCCCTCCTCCTGCCTGTTTGAATTCTCTCCTTCATGAAGCGAGATCCCATAGCCTCCTCTGGACTTTGGTAGAACTTAAGGGAAAAAGTTTCTTACTTTGACGATTGTGTTCTGGTGGATCGTCATGAAGACTTTCATGTGTCTGTGCCTCATCGCCTAGCAATGAATCCAGTTTACTTCTGTTTAATTTCCTGTTCAGATGTTTTGTTCTGTTGTAAAATACACCGGACTTCAAGAAATCTCTCTCCAGTTTTGTAGCCTAAGACAGAGCTTATGTTAGTTGCTAGGGTGTTGCTAGGGAAAGTCATTTAGCCTGGGCAGATAATTAACTTTATCAGCGTGTGGGTAGGTCAGAGAAGAGAAGAGCTGGGGGCTCCACTTCTCCAAGAAAAAAAAAAATTCTTTGATTGGTAAGAGGTGAGAACAGCTCTTTTTTTCCCCTTTAAGAGAGAAGGGAGAAATGAGTTTCTAGATTAGTGTTTTTCTGAGTATAGCCATTGAAACACAAGCATCAGATGTTTGGCTCAAATGCAGATTCCAAAATCCCACCTCAGACCTATTGAATCTGCACTTTGAAAAAGTTCAAAGTAAAATTCAAGGAATCACTATCCCAGATCTTGTAATTCAGACTTGAAATGCAAATGGTCCAGTCTTGGTGCACAAGGAGTCTCATTTTCCCATATTTTGACTGTTTGAAGCTGGACTGGGAAGTCACAGGACCTGTCTAAGCTGCTTATATACAAAATTGGGAATAGTAATTCCATCCTGGCTACCTCCTAGAGTTTTGAGAAATGGGTAACTGAGATAATAATTTGTAAACTTCAAAGTGATTTGTCAAAAAAAAAAATCACCACTCATTAATTTAGATCAAGAAGCTAGAAATATTATGTATGTTTTTCTAGCTCTTAGAATTACACTCAGAAGTGTTATGGGAAGGGCTTTCTAGACAAAGGAAGTAGGCAATAAAGGAAACTGAATTGCACTGAGCCATCTATTTGTAATCTGTCATGAGAAAAAGCCTGGAAACTGTCTACCAGTGAGCCAGAAGGCTTTAAGATTAAGTTATGGAAATCGAGTAGGAAAAGTAAAAAAAAAAAAAAAAAATTCTTTTAATTCTAAAAGCAAAAGACATTAATTAACTGAAGAGCTATTTATTCAGCACCTGCTGTGTTTCAGGCATTGACCAAATCATGTATAATTACAGTGCCTTTGGAGTTCTGAAGCTGATTGAGGCCACACCATCCAAGGTCTGAGCTTCTCCATTTACCTGATTTCTGCAGTCTTTTAGTCTTCACCCTGTTTGACTCTCCCCTCAGTTCTCAGGAGCATTTCTCCACCTATTTCCCACTGCCACATCCAGATAAACATTTCAGATTATTCTTCAAAAGTCCTTTTGACTTTAAAAATCACAGCATCCAATATACTCCTCCTTCCTCCGTCCATCACCATATCTCCCAGGTCACTCCCCTGCAGTCACAGAGGATTTCGCATCTGGTGCACAGGCTTCCTGCCCATCCTAACTAATGCTATCGTCCTGGGGGGAATAGACAGTCAAAGCGGATAGTCAGTCTTCATTGTAAGCTCCTCTGCTCCAAGCTTGACTTTCATTCATTTCAATAGCGCTCCCCAACAGAAACACCTGCCTACAACTTTGAGAATCTCCACTGTCATTCCACCTTCTGTTTTCCCCGTTCCTTATCCCCTTGCATTGACCTCTGTGTCAACAGGACCCACAATTACTTAATCACTTCTGATTTTCCCAGCCTAACGTGCCAATTCCTTCCCCACTCTATCTGGATACCATGCTTAACCATTTTAACCACACTCTCACCAATGCTCTTCATTAGGTCACCTATTTTATTTCTGTACCTCCTCTAACTAATGCCAAACCCTAGATCAACTAAATGAAACAATGGGTCTATCTTTGTCTTATGAGTTCTGCTGCATAGCACCTGATAAACAAAACAATGGGTCTATCTCTGTGTTACAGAGTTCTGCTGCATAGCATCTGATAAAGTCGCTGATTGTCTTACTACAAACTCAGGAATTCTGCTCTTAACTATCATTCTTAAATTTATTCCTAATCAGTGTCCTTCCCCATTCTTCATAGTGCCTACTTTCTTCTAGTCCTTACTATCT